CTTGCAGTGAGTGATCATTGGAAATCCTATCCTATATAGCCCTAATACCTGCTCCCCGACTTAGGGCCCTTTAAACAGTGACTTCCTATTGTTCTCGGGGATAAGGTCAGAACTCTGAACACTAGTTGTAAGCCTTGCATGACTGAACATTGTAACGGTTTGCTTGGCCAGCCTCGCTCACCTTCCAACTTTCAGTTGTCATTCCTGCTCAGCCCCTCTCTTCCTACACACAGCCCCGGCTTCCTACAGCAGTGAGCCTGCCCTGCAGATCTCCACTCAAACTTCCCTTCCTCCGAGAAGCCTCCCCTGAGCTCCCAGACGAAGTCAGGACCCTCTGGTACGCGTCTCACAGCCTCTGCGTCCTCTCTTTCCCGGAGCTGCTTGTGACTGTCGTGATTTCAGCGTGTAAAGAGCCGCTTCATTGTCTGCTCCGATAGAAACTGCCCCATGTGGCTTTCCACCCCGTTCCCAGCACCTCAGATGACCTCGTCCCTCTAACAGGGGCTCAGATGAAAGAGTAAATGAAGGACTGGCCATTTTCAGAATTTTCAGCTCTATCACCTCTGATTATTTTTTACTCATATTTTATCTGCGGTGTTTAGACTGTTAATAAAAGTAAAACTAGATTATATTAATTGGGCCTGTGTGGCTACTGTATTACTGTATCAGAAAAATGAAATTAGCCTTCAGAGACACACAAAACCAACCCATGACGAGACACTGCTTTACATTCACTAAGATGGCGGTAGAAAACAAGACTTGTTGGGAGGAATACGGAGAGATTGAGCTCTCATATGCACTTACAGGAGTGCAGAATGGTGCGGCCACATTGGGAAACAGGCTGGCAGTTCTGTGGTATGTTAAACGTGGGGTCGCCATATAACCCAGAAGTTCCACTCCTAAGTGTATGCTCAAGAGAGATGAAAATGTATGTTCACATAAAAACGTGTACATGAATATTCATATCAGCATTATTGACAATAGTCAAAAAGTGGAGACAACCTGTGTTCATAAACTAAATGGATAATTAAAATGTGGCCTATCTGAACAATGAAATATTATGTGGCAATAAAGAGAAATACAGTATTTATACATGCAGTAGTAGGGATGAACTTTGAAAACACTGTGCCCAGTGAAAGAAGTCAGTCACAAAGAACCCTGTGATTCCATTTTTATGAAACGGAGGATAAGATACATAGGCAGACCTGTAGAGATCGATCGCAGATTCAGTAGGATTTGGGGAAATGGGGAGTGACTCCTCTTGGCGTGTTGTTTCTTTGAGGAATGATGAAAATGATCTAAAATTAATTGTGGTATTGCACATCTCTGTGAGCATATTAATAAAAACCATAGAATTGTACCTTTTAAGGGGGTGAATTATATGGGGTGTGAGTTATCTCTGTAAAGCTGCTAAAAAGAAAAAGATGGTTTACGTTTAAGGGTAAACTGAAAGCATACCACCCAGAGGTTATTAATCATCTGACAACAGCGTGGAACACTGCCTCTGCCATCTGCATGTTTATTCCATTGCCCTTGCTCTGCAGACCACGTTTGTACACGTTCTGATGTACAAGCTGATGTTCTCAGTACATCTCGGTACATCTGGAAGCTCTCAGTTTTGATGGGACGTTTTATGTCTGTCCCCTCCCTTCAATTCACGGCACTTCACGCGCTCAGAGCAGCTAATAGTTCCCCCCGCTTAGGATTATTGTGAGGATTAGAGGGACTAATGTATACAATGCACTTACCATTGTGCCCAGCACAGGGCAAGTGCACAATAAATATTTTTTATTATCCCAGCCAAAAATTAGCAAATTTTCTGTGGCTAAAGAAAATGCAGAACTGTTGCTTATGTTTTGCAATTGAAGTGGCAGTTATTTGAGTACTTTTGACAGTTCTGTCACATGTCGGATACACTTATTTTTTCCTCTGAGGAGTTGAAGGGCACAGACCTACCTCTACTCCATCCCCACCCTATTACAACAGAGTGCAATAATGTAGATGGACACTAGGGGGCAACATGCAATTGCGGTTAAAATGGAAATTCAGACCTTAAAAAAGTGTCTAAGGACAGGGAAATGTCTTCCTTTAATATAATACTTTATGGTATTCTTCTGTAGGAGGGAAAGATTATTACTGTATTAGAGGGGTGTTGCTTCCAAAAGGATGCCTTCAGCATTAGTCAGATTCTACCTATATGTGTGTGTGTGTGTGTGTGTGAGTCGCTTAGTCGTGTCTGACTCTTTGCGGCCCCATGGACTGTAGCCTGGCAGGCTTCTCTATCCGTGGAATTTCCCAGGCAAGAATACTGGAGTGGGTTGCCATTTCCTTCTCCAGGGGAATCTTCCCAACCAAGGAATTGAATCCAGGTCTCCTGCATTGCAGGCAGATCCTTTACCCTCTGAGCTGTATATGTCTGCATAAAAAGGGTATATAACCATTTGCAAATACGCTACAAGCTCTGTGTACATATGAGAACACAAAGCTTTTCTTGTTGGGTGGTCCCGCGGATGGGAAGTGTTTGAGCTGCCTTTCAAAGCACTTTAACGCAGTATCTTGTCTCTGGGAGACCTAGATGTCCTTCATATCCTAGGCTTCCCTGAAATTGCTGAGGAGTTTCTGTTGAGGTATATGTGCCCCACCATGACATTAGTCCCCCAAGGGCAGGGACCATACCCCTCTTCATCTCTGTGTCCCCAGAAGTTTGCAATACCCGACATGTCCCAGTGAAGCTGGATAAGTGTCCACTGGACCAGACTGGTCTCTGAGCTGAGGCTGGAAAAAGAGGCAAATTAGGACCACCTTGAGTGTGAGCAATAAGACAACCCCAGTGAAGTTTCTTTAATTATTTTTACTAAGAAAAAAAAAAAAAGAGTTCAGTTTCAGACTTCGCTGGTGGTCCAGTGATTAAGATTTTGTGCTTCCAATGCAGGGGGTGCACATTCAACTCCTGGGTGGGGATCCAAGATCCCACATATAGCGGAGTGTGGCCAAAAAGAAAAAAGAAATCAGTTCATGCTTATAAGGAAAAAGCAGCAAAAAGAACACTTAACTTGCTCATCATCTCATCTACCCAAAACTGGGCATACCACAAATTCCTTTTACCTTGTGTCAAAGCATAAAATATAAATGTGTGTGTATATGTATATATCATATATAGGTATATATGTACGTATATACATGCAGACACGTATATATAGTGTTTACATTTATGGCATAGAATATGGTATTCTATTACATGATGGTATTATCTTTATTTAACTAATGCCCCCCACTTTGGGAATTCAGGCTATTTCTAAGTTTTTGCTCTTTTAAAGAGCGGCCTGGTGAATAACCTTGTAGCAGAATCTTACCCCACATTTTTTATTAGTTCTTTAGGCTAAATTCCCAGAAGCAGAATTGCTGGGTGATGGGTAATTTACATTGTCACCCACGGTGACAGTGCCCTTGATCAGGTGAAAAGTTTTAATTAAACATCACACAGAATTCTATAATCTTGTCTCAGTAGTGTCATCACCACTCAAAACGTTTAGTGAACTCTGTGTTTGGTGATCCAGGCTATGACTCACACAAGAAAATAAATCTTAACCTCTCATCTTGCCCTTGATCTTGGACTACTCAGGAAAATCTAATTCATCACAAAAAAAACAAAGAAAGTAAGCCCGGAGGATACTTGTGTACATGCGCCACCAGAATCAGGAGGCAAGAACAGAAACACTTCCTATGGTAGAGTAGGGGGCACATCAGAGCGTAAGTGTTAGGGGCCCCTCAGGCCAGCTTTCACTGTGCATGTCCTGATGGAATTACTCAAAAGTCATGTCATTGCTCCACATGTACTTTCCATGTGCCTGTCTCTTGATGCTTTTCTAATTTGAAGGTATTTTTCACCTATTATTTTTCTAAGTGGTTTTTTTTTTTTAATTTGGGTGGAATCATCTGAAGACCCCTTATGGGTTATAACAAAGCAAGCTCTCTTAACCATTTTTTTTTCCTTAAAGTTTCCCAAGCTTCTCTTTCTTTAGGTCTTAAAGATATACGTAAATAAAGAACTAAGCATTTCAAAATGTTTTTATAGGGATTTGTTCATGGAAGGTGAAGAGAGACAGTAGCACCCAACTGAGGCTTAGTCGTTCTTTCTTTCTTTTTTTTTTTTTAGATTTATCTTTTTGGCTGCGGTGTGCAGCATGCGGGATCTTAGTTCCCTGGCCAGGGATCAGACTTGTGCCCCCTGCAGTGGCAATGATGAGTCTCAACCACTAGGCCACCAGGGAAGTCTCTGGGATTTAGTGTTTCTATATGGAGGGGTTTTCTTGCTCACTCCTTAGAAGAAAAGCTGTGACCAACCTAGACAGCATATTAAAAAGCAGAGACATTACTTTGCTAACAAAAGTCCATCTAGTCAAAGCTATGGTTTTTCCAGTGGTCATGTATGGATGTGAGAGTTGGACTATAAAGAAGGCCGAGCACAGAAGAATTGATGCTTTTGAACTGTGGTGTTGGAGAAGACTCTTGAGTCCCCTGGACTGCGAGGAGATCCAACCAGGCCATCCTAAAGGAGATCAGTCCTGGGTGTTCACTGGAAGGACTGATGCTGAAGCTGAAACTCCAGTACTTTGGCCACCTGATGCGAAGAGCCGACTCATTGGGAAAGACCCTGATGCAGGGCAAGATTGAAGGCGGGAGGAGAAGGGACGACAGAGGATGACATGGTTGATGGCATCACCAGCTCGATGCACGTGAGTTTGGGCAAGCTCCAGGAGTTGGTGAAGGACAGGGAAGCCTGGCGCGCTGCCGTCTGTGGGGTCGCAAAGAGTCAGACAGGACTGAGGGACTGAACTGAGCTGACCTGATGGACGGGTTCAGACGTGGCTCTTGATCGATGCACTGATTTTACTATGATCATATGCTTAGTTGGTGGTCTTGGTGAAGAGCTATTGTTTCATGGAGGGAGCAGGCTGAAATTAACTCAGGCCAAGCATTGTTGCTGCCATGTGTATTACCGTATTGCACAGACCTCCTCCGTGGCCCTTGGCAGCCTCCCAAGAAAAGCCGAGACGCTCGGGCTGATGTTCAGGGTTCTCTGCGGTGTAACTTCCGCCCTGCTCCTCCAGCTTCTCATCTGCGGCTCCGCGTGCAGCCCCGCGTGGGCGCAGTTCATCCTTCGGCCGCCTCCTTCCTGCAGCCGCTGCCTGGCGGCCAGCTTTGCGCACATGTGACGCGGAAGCTCTCCCTTCGGCTGCACGGAGGCTCGTTCGCGTGTCCCCGACTCCGCGGCGTGGACACTCTGGTCTCCCGGTTGCCTTGTGGGCGTGCAGGCGACTGACCGTCAGTGGGGAAGCCTCCCCTCTGACAAGCGGGGTGGGGAACCGGAGGGTGAAGACGCCCTCTGACAAGCGGGGTGGGGAACCGGAGGGTGAAGACGCCCCTTCCTGGCTGTCACCGGGGTGATCCTCGGGTCCTTCCGCACGGCTCCTCAGAAGTCCCCCCAGGACTGTGCCGCGGAGGTCCCCAGCAGTGCCCCGCTGACAGCCCACCTCCACCCTCGGGCGGGTCTCCCTCCTTGTCTGGTCCCCTCACCCCACTCTTGGGGTCATTTCCCCGAACGCGCGGCCTCAACGCCTCCTCTCATGCTGCGCTCGCTGGCGGGAAGGACAGCCCCGCTCTGTTTTCTGACCATGCTCCTTGCTCTTGTTCCTTCACTTCTTTACTATTCACATAGGGAACATCTAGAATGTTCCTGCTCTAGAGAAGGGCCCCCAGTACAAAAAGGGATCGGGCCCAGCTTGCTCCTGAGCTCTGCTTTGGGGCACCTGAGGTTTTCTCCAGAGTGTCTTTTCAAGGCCGGAATTCGCCGGGAGACAGCGGTGGCAGATGCCGGTTTTGTTTCTGTACACAGGCGGCCAGGGGAGCGGTGCGGGCAGAGAGGCAGGTGGTGAGCACGGTCTGTCCGGGGACTGGAAAGCGGAGGGGGCTGGAGTGGAGGGCGTCCAGAATGTGCCCATGCCCACCAGGTCTGAGACGCCGAGTGGCTCCTCGTGTTGCTGGCCCGCTCTGGCCTTCTGCTCTAGGTGGTCCGTGCCGGGCTGTGGCTGCTGACCAGGGGTGGGTGCTGGCGGGCATGGCCTTGGCACAGGCCTCAGTCTGAGTCTCTGGGTACAGGAGCCCGGGGCAGCTGCGTCTCGCCTCACCCAGGCCGTCCTGCCCCACAGCCCATGCTGGAACGGCCGGCAGGCCCAGGAGGGTGTGTCCTTCACCCTTCTGGAGCGCCCCGAGCACGCGGTGCAGTCTCCTGCTTGTGTGTGTTTCTGTTTGCTGTGCTCTGAAGCCGTCCTGCTTTGGGGGGCTTTATGCTGAGCCCGTCCCGCCGTGGTCCCCTGCTGCTCCTGGCTCAGGCACGGGCCAGTGACTTTACAGCGGGGCAGGGTGACTGGTAGCTGCCCCATCAAGCGGACCCTGTCTGGGGAACTTGAAATGAAAAGACAGAGACGGCAGCAGACAGAAGCCGTGGGGACGAGGCAAGGCGGGCTGAGGGAAGCAGGCTTGCCGATGGCAGGACGAGCGGAGAGATGGTGGTTGAGTCCTAGTGATGCGGCCGTACCAGGACCTGTGAGACAGTGAAGGCTCCCCGGAGAGCCCTTCTTTTTGTTTCTGAACTAAACCCTAACCCTCACCCCCACTCTGATCTCCTGCCCCCTCTCTCCCAAAGGCCAGTTCAGCTGGAGGTCAAAGGACAAGGCAGTTAGGAGGATACAGAACCCAGAGGTCAGCCCGCCAGGGCGCAGGGCAGGTGGTGAAGGCAGGAGCAGAGGTCCGGCCCCGGAGCCTGTCCAGCACCCGTGCTGGCGGAGGGGGCTGTGACTGTCGTGACATAAATGCCCGTCACCCAGAGACTTGGCAGGTCTCCATCCTTGCGAGCAGAGCAGCCCAGCAGCGCAGTGGGCAGGGCCACCTGGTCTCCTGGTTCCCGGGACGTCCTCCTGCGTGCCCGCAGGGCCAGTCCCGGTCATCAAGGCCCCAGTGGGGTCATGGCTGAAGGAACCCCGGAGACACAGCAGGCCTGCGTAGTTACCGCGTGAGCTGTGTGATTCACCGCGGAGCTATACTTAGGAATGAAGGACTCTTTGCCTGTGTTTATCTACCAGAGTTGATTCTGTCAAAGCAAAAAGAACACTCTGAGTACCCTTCCTCCCCAGAAGTTTAAAAAAAGAGATAAAAAAGAGACACACACGCCAGCTCTCTCAGGGCAGCTGGCCTCCTGCAGGAACCAGCTGCAACTCCAGGGGCCGAGAGCAGGAAAGCAACTGTAGGTTCAGAGCGCTGAGTCAGAGAGAGCAGGTGCGGGCTGCTGGGGGAGGCGATTAGGGAAGAAAATTGCTGTGTGTGTGTGTGAGAGAGAGAGAGAATATTTACGAGGAGGAGGTGTGGAACTGCAGGGCGGTGCCCAGCTTGGACCAGGGAGGAGGCCAGGCCCAGACCAGACTCCTCGCCAGGACCCTTGATTGCTCAGCCAGTCGTGCTGGACCCCAGGCTTCCCAGAGCCCACTGTGGTAACAGCCTTGTGGTGTTACCTCTGTTGTCCAGATGAGGGCCCTGGGGCTGCAAGTTCCCAAAGCCAGCGAAGAGGACGTTAAGCTCTTCGCTTAAGTGACAGTCACTCAGTCGTGACCAGCTCTTTGTGATCCCGTGGACTGTAGACCCCCAGGCTCCTCTGTCCACGGGATTCTCCAGGCAGGAATACTGGAGTGGGTTGCCATGCCCTCCTCCAGGGGATCTTCCCGACCCAGGGATTAAACCTGGGTCTCCTGCATTGCAGGCAGATTCTTCACCATCTGAGCCACAGGGAAGCCCAAGATATGGATGTTGGTTGATATTGTCAGAGTTAAAGTGAAGCATCAAACACATTTGTCATAATTTCACTAGTTCATCCACTTCATCAAGGATATGAGTGACTTTTCTGCTGAATTGGGTAAGAGTTTTAGAATCCTGGGAAAATATTTCCTCATTTTTTTGTTCTATTTGCAATGTAGTGGATCCCAAATGTGACGCACTTTTAAGTGAATGCTGCACTATTAACACTTTCTCCTTCACTTTCTTAGATCTAGATAACAAGACAATAAATAAAACTCCAGTCTGTAGCATTTGCCAATTTCTGTGGTGTAAATATTCCTACTCTAGCACATTTCAAATTACCGACACGACACTGCTGAGAGTGATGCAGATTTGGGAACAGAAAGGCAGAGCACGCCTTTTATAGTATTTTCACCATACAGATACAATGGATACAGATAACCAGAATAGCCTAGGTAGTAGTTAGATGTAGCAAAATAATTGGGAATGTGTGAGTATTTAATACTTTTTGTTTTATATAATTTATTAAATTACAAATCACTGTAACTTAGTTTTTAATAAGAGCTGTGTCTCCCGATTCTTCAGAAATTCTCTCACCATGGGTGTGTGCCAGCTCCAGCACATCAGACTGTAGCCTTATCTTAAAACTCGGCAAGTCGCACATGCACTGTGTGGAACCAAGATCCTGAATCATTTCTGCTGTTTTCAGATGTGCACACACCGCTACGCCCCACCTCAGTGGAACGGCAGAGTTTGTCTGTCCCCTTACTTCTCCGGCTTCATGTCCTCTAACTTCTCACTGACCCCGCTACCTAGATATTCCTCGAACTCACTGGGCGTGTCCACCTCAGGGCTTCCGCACTTGCTGTTTTCCTGGCCTGGAATCTTCTTCCTCCAGCAGACTGCATGGTTCATTCCCCTCCCTCCTTCAGATCTTTGTTCGAACGTTACCTTCCCAGTGAGGTTTTCCCTGCCCACCTTGCTTACAACTGCAGCCCCTCCTTTCTGTTCCCCTGCTGACCATCTCTCTTCCTTGCTTTATTTTTCTCCCTAGTGTCAGCTACTTTTAATGTATCCCACTGTACAAAACCCTCCTATTTATTCATTTTCTTTATTGCCTGTTTTCATCCTTGAGGATGTAAGCAGTTCAAAGACTAGATTTTTTTTTGCACGTTTTGCTGTATCCTATGTGTATAGAACAGTGCCTAGCACAGGATAGGTGGTCAATATATATTGTTGTGTAAATAAATGATTGAACAGTAGATGCCCAGTAAATATGTATTGAATAAACAGATGAATGTTGCCTCAAGTTCTGGAGGCATCAGATTACCAGGGGAGGATTTTAAAGCTGTATGTTTGTGTGTGTAGATATATATATATGAGAGCTTTATTGAGATGTAATTCACATACCATAGTGTTCACCCACTGGATGCTTACAATTTAATGGTTTTAAAAAATTATTAATTTATTATTATTTATTAATGATTTATTGATTAATTATTTGTTTTTTGAGCAACTGAACAACAACAACAAATTGATTCCTTCCATTGTATGGATTCGCTTTTTGGCTGTGCTGGATCTTTGTTGCTGTGTGTGGGCTTTCTTTAATTGCATCAAGGAGGTGTTCCTCTTCACTGTGGTGGCTTCTCTTGTTGCGGAGCACAGGTTCTAGGGTACGTGGTTTTCAGTAGTTGTGGTGCATGGGCTTGGTTGCCCCACAGCACATGAGATCTTTTTGAATCAGGGGTCGAATCCATGTCCCCTGCACTGGCAAGCAGATTCCTAACTGCTGGACCACCAGGGAAGTCCAGACAATTCAGTGGTTTTTTTTTTAATGTTTTCAGAGTTGTGTAAGCATCAGTGATACCAATTTTAGAACATTTTTATCACTCCAAAAAGAGCCTCATGCCCATTAGCAGTCACTCTCCATTGCCTCCAAATCCCCCCAGCCCTAAGCAACCATTAATTTACCTCCTGTCTTGGTAGACTTGACTGTTCTGTACAGTTCATACATATGGACTTGTACAACGTGTGACCTTTCATATCTGGCTTCTTTCACTTAACATAGTGCTTTCAAGGTTCATCTATGTTATGGCATATGTAAATGCTGCTTTATATTGGTGAATAATATTCCACTATATGGATATATCAAGTTGTATTTATTCATTTGTCAGTTGATGTATGTTTAGGTTTGTTCCATTTTGGGGGCCATAATAGATAATGCTACTATGAACATTCATGTACAAGTTTTTATGTGGGTATATGTTTTCATTTTTGTTAGATATATACCTAGAAATAGAATTGTTGGGTCATATGACACTCTGAAGTTTAACATTTTAGAGAACTACCCATCATCTATGTTGATTTCCAATTTCTTCACATCCTCAGCAATTCTTGTTAGTATCTGTTGGTTCTATTATAGCCATATTAGGAGGTATGAAGTCATTTGTTAATTTGGTTTTCACTTCTTTTTACTAAATGAAGTATACTTGATTTACAATACTGTGTTAGTTTTAGGTAGATGTACAACATAGTATCTTGGTTACTGTAAATAGCGCTGGTTTACATTTCTTTGGGGACTGATGATGCTGAGCATCTTTTCATGTGCTTATTGGCTATTTGCATGTCTTATTTGGAGACATGACTGCCAGTTTTTAAATTTGGGTTGCCTTTCTGTTGAGTTGTAAGAATTCTTTATATATTTTGCATACTACACTCTTACTAGGTGTATCATTTACAAAAATTTTTTTGCACTATTTTTCACTCTCTTCTTGATGGGTGTTCTTTAAATCACAAATTTAAGTTTTTAGTTAAAATTTTAATTTTGATGATGATGATGCCTTAATTTACCTCAGTTTGCTTTTGTGTCTTGTGCTTTTGCTGTCACATCGTAAAACAATCACTTAACTCAAGATTATAACGATATACACCTAGGTTTTCTTCTAAGAGTTTTATAATTTTTGCTCTTACATTTAGGTCTTTGATTCATCTTGAGTTAACTTTCATGCATGGTGTGAGGTAGGGATCCAACTTAATGCTTTTGCATATACATATCCAATGGTCCCAGCACAATTTGTTGAAAAAGCTATTTTCACCCATTGAATTGTCTTGGCATCCTTGTCTAAAACAAGGGGAGATTTTAAATCAGATTTTTGTGATTAGGTTTATTTATTTGTGATTTATTTTCCTGGAAACATTGAGAAGTCTAGTTAAAGTCTATTTATGTAGAAGGCAGGAAATGCTTTTGAACTATTTCAAGAATAAAGGGAATGCTCTTAATGCCTAGACTGTGATTTTTTCAAAATGTTTTACCTTTTTTTTTGAAATTGAGGTATAATTACATATAATGTTTTATTAGTTTTAGGTATACAAAGGAATGTTTCAATATTGCAAAATGACCACTGAAATAGCTGTTTAACATTTGTCACCATACATGGTTATAAAACTTTTTTCTTGTAATGAGAACTTTGAAGATTTACTCTCGGTAACTTTCCTATATATAATACAGTATTATTACCTATGTGCTTCCCAAGTGGCTCAGAGGTAAAGAATCTGCCTGCCAGCAGGAGACTTGAGTTTGAACCCTGGGTCAGGA